ATTTTGAAGATCTTTCTAATGAATTTATTTATGAAATTCTCGAATATCTGGATTTTTTTCACATTGATAGAATTTTCTTCAATCTTAATACATATTTTCGAAGTCTTCTTATGAGTTCAACTCTTCCTATTAAAATCAATCTTGCATTTTTATCAAAATCAAATTTTGAATATTATTATACAATTATTATTATTCCTTATCAATATCGAATTCAATCACTTCATGTATGAAATTTATTTATTGTCGATTTCTTTCTTTCTTTGTTTTCTCAAATTTCAAAATGAATTCAACTTCAAACACTTATTATTGATCAAATTCAATCAAAATATCTTAATAACCTTCTTAATGATTTATTCTTCTTATCTCATCTATCCGCATTAGTACTTATTTGTAAGAATTATGTTCCAGACAGAAATAACTTTTATAAACAAGTATTTCGTTCACCTTTCCTAAAATATTGTAAACTATCAATACATGCACGTCATCCACCTGAACAATTACCTATTGCAATGAATGAAGTTAGTCCGATTTTACATTTAGTCATCAAAGTTACTAAATTATTAATCTTAATGAATTATTTGCTTTTCTATCATATGTTCCTCAGCTTCATCGTTTATCCATTGATAGTCTATTTACATGTAACATGCAAATGAATGTTTGTTCAATTGTATTAAATCACTTAACACATGTTTCTTTAAATTTGGGAAATGTTATTTTTGATGAATTCGAAATATTGATTACAAAAAATATTTTTTCATCAAGTTCAAATTTTATATATCTTGACACATGGAGATAAAGCTTATTTAGATGCAAATCGATGGCAATTCCTTATATTATCACATATGCCATATTTATGAATCTTTGATATCCGGCATCATGTAATTATAAACGCAACAGATAGAGAGGTTTATCCTGATCTATTTGACCAATTTGAATCTCCATTTTTGTTTGAACGACAATGGTTTTTTGCGTATCATATTCATGGAACTGGAGTAACTGCAGATGTATTTTTTTATTCAACAAATCCATACAGGTGTGAATTTATTTAGTTCCACACTAGAAACGATTTCTAAATTTAAGAAGAAAACATTTCGTACTAACTACAGAACCAATCAAAAGAAGTGCTCCACATTCTAAACAAAGACATATGCATTCAGTTGATCATCTTGGATTTCAACATCAAAATAGAATGATTAATTGGACAAATTATTTTCCAAATGTTACTTAACTTACTTTCAACTGTAATCCTCTGCAAGAAAATGAATATGTTCTTCCAATTATTTTTAATCGTATTTTTCCTTCGAAACAAATTACTAAACTCGAGATCATTTGGTTTGACCTTCATTTGAAAGATATTATAGAATTATTGACTTTCATGCCTAATGTTCATATGTTAAGATTTAATCTTTCAACACTTCAAAAAAAAAACAGATTTAAACTTAACTCAACAAAATGAAAGTTTTCAGATGGTGTCTACTATAAATAAAATTAAAAATATGAATATTGCATTTCAATGTACGTTTGAACTGGTAGAAGTGCTAGTAAATCTTTTCCCACGATTAGAGCATCTCTGCATGCTTGCAAACAGAAAGTCTTTAGAAACAATTTTACGATTTCTTTTATCAGAAAACAATAGCAAAACTCGATTTTTACATTCATTATGGATCCCATTTGTTACTGCACCTATAATTCAAGATAACATGGTTCTACTTCAATCAGAGAAACTAATTGTTGCCTGTATGATGGACAATGCTGGATGCATCCGCTTATGGTGGTAATCGCGAGACAACTAAATATTCGTTTTTCTTGATAGTGGCAGATTTAAGATTTTTATGAAGGGGAAGTCGGAGAGGAGGCGATTTAGGACAAAACATACTTTATCGACTCATTTTTGGGCCTTTTTTGCTGGGAGAAATTAAAAAAAAATTTTCGGAATGGGGAAATTGTTCCCATTACCCCTTTCTCTAAATCCACCACTGCTTCTTGAATGTTTTTTGGTTAAGATAAACAAGAGAATTATATGCAGAATTTTTTTTTAAATCAAAATAAAAACTAAACAAATCAATGTTTCTCACTTCCACTAAATACTTATTTCGGTTTATTTTAGAGCAAAATAAATTCGACCAATAATCAAATCCTACTAATCTTGAAAAACAGTACTAGTGTATAATATTATTCTCATTTGTAGGGAATGGGTGTGGTATGGGTGGAAGTGGGCTGTGGAAAGAGAAGAGATCAACACTCACACACATACCCACCCATTCAGCGATTGATAAGAAAATGCAATAGTCAGATAGAACGCACAATCTTACTTTTAATTATCTAGCCGTAGTCAAAGCGATATACAAACTTGTTAGTGAAACAAAGCAGATGATGACTGTAACAATTATGACAAACAAACATTAGATGATGACTTCTGATCTGAATCAACGATTGAACGAATATAGTTTTATAGCAGTGTTCACTTTTATTTGTCGTCTATTATTGGTTCGACGCATGATGATCGTGGTGATGGTGAACTCGATTCCAGGATTGTTCCTCACCGTTGAACAAAATACAATAGGCAATACAGCCAAAGGCACCGATGCCTGCCGATATGTTGAATATGGTACGCCAAGCTTCAAGTGTTTGCTATGTTTATGAACATCAGCAACAAGATGTATAATGAGAGAGAGAGAGGGAAAGACAGGGAGAACTCACATTATTGTTTGTGATGGCTCCGACTACATAAGGTCCAACAAAACCGGGTATCGTTGCCAAAGAATTTGTGATACCAACAAGAGTTCCTACACATACAACTTTGTTAAATACGTTTCAGCCTCAATATTTCTTACCAGCATAGTTCGATGCAACATCGAGATGTGAAATAAGCGCACCACACGTGTGTAAACCGATAAAAGACACAGACAAAGTACAGCATAGGACAGCAAGCGTATTATTACAACCAACATAACCGGCGGCCACCAAAAATGAGCAAGAACCGAAACCACCTAAGTTAGATGATGAACAATGATGAACATGCTATTTCTAAACTATTTAGTATCTAACTCTTACCAATAATAGTCTGAACTTTTCGTAGTGTTGTAATTGTGACAATATTGCGAGCTCGAATACGATCAATGATTTGACCCGTTATGACGGTAAACAAAAATTGTCCGAAATGTGGTAAAGCAACAAGAAACCCATTCTATATTGATCATAATGTTTTGTTAATTTGTTTCAACAAGAAAAGTATTGTATTTATTTCAAATTATAATTAACAGAATCTCTTCCTCAACCTTGAAGATCTAATCTTTGACTCATATAGTATCATACTTTTTATTCCAATATCTGTGATATTGATCTGAATTTGATCAATTAACATTCATGAATGAATCTAGAAACTTTCAAATCTCAGCTGTCCAATAATTAAAGAATACCTGCGTCCTAAATATAAGAATTTTGAATTAATATTAGTTTTACCAACGCAAATGATTCTTTTTAGCATCTATTTGAAAGAGAACATTTTCAGCTATATGAGAAGTAAAAAAAAGGTTTGCAAAAAATAATTTCGCTTTCCTGACTTTTGGACTTTTAGTAATTCTGAAAAGATATATTGAAGATATTTGAAACATCCTTTTGTGCCGAGACCATCACAAAAACCACTGTTCTTATGAAAGAAGCCTGTGATTTCATAACAAAAATACCCCTACATTTCTTGCCAAGTATATCAATAGAAAGGGCGTCAAATTCTGCACAAGATAGGCTATTCTTCTTTCGTCACATGCTAATTAAAAAAAATTAAACATAGTCTCTGACGAAGTGAACAAAAAGATACCTCATTCTGCTGGAAAATTGAGAAAAATTGAGAGATAAGTAGTTTTTGTGATGGTCTCTGTACAAAAGGTTGTTTCAAATATCTTCAGTATATCTTTTCAGAATTATTAAGAGTCTTAAAGTCATTTTCCAAAGTCTATGTAATCTATGTAGCTTTAGATGCTCTATCTAATGATACAATTTAAAGATCGTTTAAATCCGTTTTCATTATATTAAAAAGGTCAAAACTTATTTCTGTGGAACTACATCATCATGATGTAAATACTTATATGTTCTACCATTTAGTGTCTTAGGTAATAGAAAAGATAAATTATTTTTTGCAAACCTTTTTTTTCTTCTCATGTAACTGAGAATGTTCTCTTTCAAATGGATGCTAAAAAGAATCATTTGAGTTGGTAAAACTAATATTAATTCAAAATTCTTATATTTAGGACGCAGGTATTCTATAATTATTGAACAACTGAGCTTTGAAAGTTTCTAGATTCATTCATGAATATTAATTGGTCAAATTCAGATCAATATCATAGATACTATACTGCTACTAGGTGTCCATAGATATGATTTTAGATTAGAAATGAACCCTTCTTTCATTAAAGAAATCTTTTTTATATTCAAAATCTGGCAGGGTGTCCAAAAATTATAGGACATCCTGTATATAATCGAACGATAGGTGTCGAGAAGATTTTTGACTTCAAAAAGCTGGATATAGAATGGATGAAGATAGTTTCCTAAATAACTATTTTCGTTCAAGAAAAGATTCCGTTTATTATATGTTGAAATGCATAGGATCTCTAAGATCTGTTTACCTCTTGAAGTTCAAAATTGAGTACAGTCGCAAAATAAATAGGTAACGAAGTGAACAATGTATAGTAGACATAATTAGTACAAATTTGCATTATAGCGATGCCATAGACAGGTGGACAGCGAGCGATACTTTTCCATGGTGTTTTTAGATACTACGCAAATGGGTACACCAAAACAGACATTGAACAAACAACTAAAATTACGTTCCCAATACCTTATGAGAAATGTTTACTGTATGTGCGGCTAAATAGAAACGCTCTTCGTTTGTGATTCGCGGGTGATCATCGGGCGAATTGAAACCAAAACAACACCATCCGACAAACCACAAGCATCCGATTGCTCCTAGATATAAATAGACGCGAACCATATGCTGTTAGCTTTTAAACTGTCTTATTACCAAACACATAAAAAGCCGATGGCCATCCGCCAAGAAATGATGAATTATTCATAAAACTAACAAGTGGTGTGGTAAATATGATACCGAAATTAGTTCCCGATTGAGAGACAGGTGGAATAGTACTTCGTTCCGAAGGTGGAATCTGTTAAAACACATTAAAACGAAGAGATATTTAGGATTCAGATATAGTATGAATAATCACCCATTTTCCCCAAAGAGCCGCTGCGGACGGAAATGCGGGACCCGAGAATAAGCCAATTAAGACCCGAATTGCAATGAGTAATCCAAGATGAGCTCGAGCTGCCAGCGGCGTTAATAATGTTAAAATGCTAGCTATCAATATGCATCCACTAAAGATCCATTTGCCACCAAATTTTTCGGCTAAATTGCCTGACAATAAAAATAAGAAAACAATTATGAATACGATAACTGGATGATTTATGTTTTATTGTATCACCTCCAATTCTATAGAACAAAAATCATAGAAAACGAGATATCAATAAATGCACGCTTACACTTGAGTAAGAATATAGCCGTAGAAGAAAGCTCCAAGAACAAACCCTTGAGTAGATGGTTTCCAATCGAATTCGTAGTGCTATAAAACAAGAACAAAGATGTATTTTCAATTTAAATCAACAGTAGAAAAGACAAACTGAAGGTGGTTCTGGAGAACTTGTGTTCGATACTGGACATGATCGAACTGATTGATTGAGTGCACTTTGTGGAGGTACCTAATTCGTATATGAGAAAGTAAACTATCTTTGATGAATGCCTCATAGCACGCAGATCGACTAGATGACTAACCATAGCGACAATTGCCACCGAAATATTGACACGTAGTGCATATAAACAAAGAAAACCAAAGAAAGCCCAGATAGCGACAACATAACGGGCCGGCATAGCTGCACACCGGAGAGGGTCTGTTAAGAATGATTCCGCTATATATTCATTCGTGGTGGACTTGGCTGTCTTCTCGTTCTCATTCGCTGATGTGATTGCACCTTGTTCTACTTCCTCTGCTGTACTCGGTATAATGCGCTCATTTTGATGCTGTTGTTGCTGATCAGGATCATATGATAATTGCGGTAGCCTTTGGTCTTCATCCGAGGCATTGACTGTCACTAAAATAGTGCTTTCACGTCTTGTTACCATGCTACTGGTCGTTAAATAGATTAAAGAAGCAATTCAAATCTCACCACAATTTTGCAGTTATAACAAAAATAATGCTAGATATGATCGTTGCACCTACCTGTATGCTTATCTATTGTCTTTCGCTTATCTCTTTCTGAATTTCATCAAGCACACTCTAAAAGATATCATCAAGAAGAGTAAGTTCAGCGCTGTCCGAATCTGAGTCAAAGTCCGTTCAAAAATGACTTCAAATTCGGACTCAAATGACAGGGGCGTATAAGCAATGGAAAACGGATCTCTAGCCATTTATTGACAGCTTATTAGTAACTCTGCGTAGAAAAGTGATGCGAGTTTGTGATGCCGAATTCAAGCAAAATTTTGGACATCAAAGATCGTTTTGAGGCGTAAATACTGTAAAAATGTATAGCAGTCTTATAAGGTGTTTGGCGCGTTCTCAGGTATATTCGTATTAGCTCAGTATTTGATCAAAATAGAAAATTTTTTAGAACTTAAGTAGGCTTAATTTATTGTCATTAGGAAGAGCATTTAATTCTGCATCGTTTCATATAAAGACTACTGTTTTTTTTAAAACTATTGAGGACATTAATAATACTACTTTTTTTATTGAAGATTCTCGTGAGGGTCGTATTGAAGATGATTTTGTTGCATATCTCTAATAGTAATTTGATTCGTTCCAATGTTTTTTAGGTGTGGGCCACTTTGGTTTACATACCATTCGATAGATCGAAGAAAGAGCTACAAACTGGCATATAATTCATTTAGTTTCGAGTTGGTCCCGATATGGAAAAGGTGGGGAAGTCGGTGGGTGAGGGTGAACGAGGGTGGGTGGGTGAGTGAATAATGATGAGAATAAAGAGAAGAGGGTGTGGGTGTAGGTATTTATTTGTAACGTACTGATACCCACACCCACACCCAATTTTTTTGTCGATTCACTCAGTTATAATCTATAAATGCAATATGACCTAACAGAATAACTCCATTGCCATATACTCTTATCTTTGTATACTGTTTACTTTTTTTTTTTCCTTTCATTCATTTATTTGCTTTGCAAAGCATGTTTTTACAGCAGATAATGAAATATTAACCATTATATCCAATTTCATCTCTTAGAGAAGAGTAAGAAAAATATTTTCTTTTACTTCTGTTAAGCCTTAGTGTAAATTCATGGATATCCAACCACATCTGGGAATAAGATTTTGTTTTTATCAAAGGGAGCGGGCTACTAGGCTAGTAAAATTTTTAAAGGATCAGTGTTGTCAATTTATTATAATCAAGATATAAGATAATCTTAAACGAGGGTGTGAGTGTGGGTGTGATGGGTCTGGTTGGATACTACTAACATGCACAACCACATCCATGCCCACGACATGCTTTCTGTTTTCCTTATTTTCTGTATAGATAATTCATTGTTGCTCAGTTATTATTGAATTGGTGTCATATCTGTTTAACAATGAAATTTAATCTGAAAAAATTACTCATGTTCATTTTTCTATACTTATAAATAATGAAAGAAATCGACTGAAATAGTATGCATCATGAATGTGACATGATTTTCGCGGAAGTGATGGCGTCTCATTTGTCGTTTCTGAAAATAACGCATGTGGTTGGTCATTCAATGATTAGTAAAGGTCTAAAAGCGAAGATCGCAAGAGTGTCCTGCACCACTCGATTCAATATTGGATTATCTTGTAGTTCGAGGTAAATTGAAAAGATGAAATTGCACGAAACACTTAAGTATGATCAACAACGCAAAGATTTGTACTTAAAAAAAAAACACAAAATATTCTTTCAGATAATTTAAGATTATTTCTTGTCCCAGCTTTAAATGAAACTCTCAACAAATAATTCATGAATCAGTCTAGATAAAGGATTATCATTCTTTGTCATTAGTAGTATCCGAGATGTTAATGAAACAATATTTCGAAAAATTTGTCGAATCAAATTTTTTGTTGCATATTTTGTCATTCAGATATGTAAACGAAAGATTTTTCTAATCATATTAGACATTATTTTTTCATTTAATTGAAATTTCGATTTAGAAAAAAAGGCACTATTTGAATCACAGAGTCACTAGTAAAATATAAAATATAGTTCATCATCACTAGTATCATCACCATCTATACTTGAACAACTAGTAATAGCATAATTTAAGCGTTCATACATAATATCAATCGTTGAATAAGCAGGTAAATCAAGCGTAAAAAAAACATGTATGTGATCCTAAAATAAAGTAAACAAATAAAAAAGAAAAATAGAGACGTACGATTTTCATCATACAATAGAACACATCATTGTCATTGACTAACAAAGTGAAAGCTTAAAGAGAATTTTTCTTTTTTGATGTTAAATTTATCTTGAGGCATTATTTAACCATGCTGAATCTATTAATGATGTAAATACATTCAGCATGGTCAAAATATTTCCTTATCAGGTTACCTTTTTTTAATGATCTTCAATGAATATACTTACGCGGAAGTGTTTGATCAACTTCACCTTGATAAACATCGTATGAAGTAATAATAAATTTTGATTGAAAATCTTCATCTCGAATAGTTAATGTACTTCTACGTCAAACAAATATTAAAAGTAATTTCTTTTGTTCATTATTAAACATTTCATTAAGAACAGTCCAAAATCGTTCAATCGGTAGTGCATTGTCATTATAATCACCACCATATAAAGTATTTCGTTTTAAAATTTCTATATCAATTTGATCTTTTCCACAAACAGCTTCTTCAAGTTCTTTAGGAGTAAATAAATTTAAATAATGATATGGAATAATACTATATAAACCTTGTTATATATAATTAATTTGTCGATTAAATTCATTAAGACGATATTGTCGATAACAAGAACAATAATATTTAAAATTTTCAATTGTTATAGATATATTTGAACCATTAGGAATAAGTTCATAGGTTTCACCAGATGAACTAACAACATCAAATCTTAATTCACTCATAATACTACCAAATAATGAATTTATATTATTATCATTATTAGTTAACTTAGTTTGTTCAAAATTTTTTTCTGTTTCATTTATAATTGTAAAACTTTGTAAATCAATATCTTGAATATCTTCAATAGTAATTGATTCATTTAATATTTTTTTCCATAATAATCTAGAAAATTTAATATTTAAACAATGTTTTTTTCCTATAGCCATACCAAATAATTGTCCAATAAAACGATATTGTTTTTTTATATTTGTTTGGTATAGATTTATTTGGTGGCAATACATTTGGAATCCAACAATCACGATTTAAATCAGTATTTGTACATCCATTAGGACATAAAATAAATAATGATAATCGTGATGAACATGTATCAAAACAAATATGAGTTATAAAATCACGATAAGCTCCATCATGATCAGTACTATGCATGTCAATATATTGTGCATGCCAAAGTTGTTCATTTGGTCGTCGAAATATTACATGATCCTTTGTATGTAATTGTTGATAAGCTTGATAGAACATTGTATTTTCATTATTGTTTATATTTGTACTAGCTTTAAGTATATAAAAATGAATCATATTCCAATCACTATCATATCTCAATTGAGTTTTTTTCTAAAGTTTCTTGAAATAATTGAACTTTTGTTGAAAACAATAAATAAGGTTTTATTTTTCGAAATTGATTAGTTAGAAAACTTTGTCCTGTTTGTAAACTTAAATCGACTAATGAAAGACTTTTCTCAATACATTAGTTTAATAAATATAAAAAATTGAGCACGAATTTGAATAGAATCAGTGGGGATAATTGATAAAGATATAGAAGTTTTATAGAATGGTGAATTTGATTGATATTCTATTGAAAGATTTTCAATGAATATTTCGAAAATGAATCGTTAAGTGATTCATTATTATTCATTAAATTGATTAGATCTTGATCAGCGATTGTATTAAAGTCATTATTAGATTTTTTAAAATCATCTTGATTTAATTGGGTATTATTATCTAAAATATCAAAGCATTATTAAAGAAATTCTTCAGGTAATAATGTTTGTTTTGTTTGATCAGTCCAAGCAATAATAACATTAATTGTGGTAAATAAATCTTGAATTTGTTCAGGAAGTTTTGATTCAATGTCTTGAATTTGATTATCATCTTCAATATGTTGAGTTTTTTGTTTTTTTTTTTAATAAAATAAATATCAAATCTGCTAAAGCTATTCGAAGACTCTTAGTTGAACAATTGCTGCGCGACATTGCTATTGATGATAATTCAATTATTAATTGAATACAAAATTGCTGAATTTTATCATTTAAGTTAAAATGTTCACTTGTATGAAGTAAACTACCAAATAGAAAGAAATTATAGAGTACAAAAAATCGTTTCACATTCTGTAATATGAAGAAAAATTCAGAGATAGTTTCATAAATTCGAACAATTATTATTGATTTCAGGATTTTATTCGAAAAAGAAACATCTGATTTTTTAGGATACTTGCGATATAATAAAAAGATGCTCACTGAACAGTGCTTAGCTCCTATGGGAACTGTCACAGCTAGGTTCACAATAATGTGAATCCGTATTTTACTATCCGAAGAGCTACTCAAAGCATGTAGCTTTTTATGACTAATCATGATGAGGTTCGAATGCGGTACTTTGCTGATAGTTGTCGGTAGATGTAATCTAGTTTTATGAGAATATTCACTTACACAGTAAATTGATGAATAATAACTATTTTTGATTGATGCGTTGGAGCTAACAAAAATAAATAAAACATTAGACGAATTAATTGTGTAGGAAATAATAATGATAGAGTAAAATCAATTTGATTTTGTTTTGTTAATCATTGATCTGTAGTTAATTTAATGAAAAAATTAAGAATTTTTAAAATAAAATCAAGATCTGGTTGTTGTTCTGGATTGATAATTGTTTTTCTATTTAAATTTTGATCGAACAAAGATAGTTTAAATAGTAATTCAATCGATTGAATAAATATATATTTTTGTAAATGATAAGATAATGGTGCTTTACTTTGTAATATATCATTATCAATTGTAGTATTATACTCAATTAATTTTTTAATTTCATGTTTAAGAATTAACTTATTTAATAAATCTATATGATTATTTTTTTCATCTTTATCTATTTCAATATAATCTAATAATTTTAATAATTTAACAATAAATGTATAATCACCAAATTTTTCTAATGGAAATGAAGTTGTTTGATCACATAACCAAAATTTAATTATATTAATAATAATAAAATTGCATAAATTGTTGTTAATCAATGTTCACAGTTTAAACGAGATTGTAAAAGTTGTTTTGATGAAATATTTTTATCTAAAGACTTAATTGTTCGTTGAGATCTTTTTCTTAGTTTTGGTTTTTGATCGAATTCACTCAAATCAAGTAAATCATACATAATATTTTCATTATTTATTGCTGTTGTTGATCCTTTATCAATAATCCATTCATTAATAGTATTATAGTTCATATATACATCTTTAAAAGTTTGAGAAAACCATTGAGTATCTAAATTTGATTTAAATTCTGTTTTATGATTATGAGAAGTATTTGATGATTGTAAACATATCCAATGTAGAACAATACGTTGTGAAATATCTATTATTTGTTCATTTGTTGGAACTATTGAAGAATTGATTAAATCTTTAAAAATCTGAGAATCAAGCGATGGATTTAATCGTGATAAAAGGGTGTGGGGTGTGAGTGTGAGGTGGAGTGTGGATGTGGGTGCTGGTTTGTGTGTGCGTGAGTGTGATGATAAGACATACCCACACCAAACGACACCGACACTCACACCCCACACCCATAACCAGCATCAAAACTATTTTTTTCTTCTTGAAAGTTGCATGCTTCCAAAAAACAGTTTCTCATTTTTACTCTGTATTATGATCATTTAGAATGGCTTGTGAGGTAGAATATATGCAGCTATATATCAGTAACAAATCCCAAGCTTACAAGATCTACGAATGAATACAGAAAATTACATAATGAATAAAATTTCTGATTTCAAACTTCCCATGTCAGCAAAATCGCGATTACTCAGATAATATTTACGATGATCGAACCTCATCGAAGCATTTGGATCTACGACTATCGCTACGTCTCGATGTGAATAGCATCGTCGTTTACCACTGAGCTCACACATGCTTCTCATGAATGAAGAGACATGATTTCGTTCTTCTCACCCACAGTAAATAATACCGAAAGCATTTTTCAATAAAATAATACTTAATGTTCATTTTATTATTGAGATAGATCCCAAACAAACAACTATGATTTATTTTTATATAAAAATACTTACTGTTGAAGTTTGTTGCAGTATCGTCGATTAATCGCCAAAAGTGACGCTATTTTGATGACATGGGTTTTCCCAGACGCTTATTATACAGATGTGTCAAGAAATAAGCCAGCAGAAACAGCGGAGAACGCAAGAGAAAAATCGTCTATCTTTTTTCCCCATTCGTCAACTAATGCTGACATTGTGCAATTCAACTCACTGCTTATTGCAAAATGTGTCGTTAGCTGTTTATGTTATCCATTGCTTATAAGCAGCAGAACGCAAGTCATAATTAGAAGCAACACAAAATGTCACGTCGAGCAAAGCAAATTCTAGCTGCAGAAGCGCGAAAAGCGGCGGATGGAAATTCATTCGTACCTGTACTTTTTCTATCCGAGCTGGATGTTAGTAAATGTAGTCAAGAACAATTTCTAGAAATTCTCACTCATTTCAATGAACTCTGTGCTAATCGACCGGTGGATCAACGATCAACATATGTCGAGCAAGTCTATCATCGATTGCTTCATCTTTTATCTCAAAAGGTAACGATTCCATTCGATAGAATAGTGGCGATAGTCAAACAATTAATTTTATATTGTCCCGTAATGGCGATTTTAACATTGGATGATTTAAAAAAATTCGATGTTCAAATGGAAAAACGATCATTAATTATTCATTTCGACATGAGTGGATCGATGAATGTAGCAGGCTTTAATCCACTAGTTCAAACAATCATCGGTCTGTGCACAAAGTTACAAAGTCAAGGTATTCAAGTACATGTATCCTTATTTGGAGATGATAACCAAGAGAGAATACATGATGCTATTGGTGGTCGATTACTTACATTGGATGAATTCTCAAAAGGAAAATGTGTACCCAATGGTGGTGGTACAAATTTTTGTCCATCATTTCGACGAACAAGACAATTCTCTACTCCTTATGATGCAATTATCGTTTCTGATGGTGCCTTTACTGGTAGTATTTCTCAATTGACTTTTCAAGAACAATGCCATACTGTTTTTTTTGTTGCACCACCATGGTCTCCATTAGGTGTTGAAGAGAAACACGCAAAAGCAATAGCATCAAGTGTTCATCCTAATGTGCCTTATATTGGTATTGCTTCCGAGAAATATCCACAACTTGATACTATTATCGAAGGTTTTCTACACGAGCATCATTTTTTTGCTCGTCTACCTGGCTATGTTACTATTGGTAGTTATGCTATTCCATCCAATCTACTTGCACCAACTCAAATGATGCAAGTATCCAATAGTTGTCTTGCTCAAGGTGAAATTCAATTGCAAGTTTTTATCAAAAGACTTCTTGGTCTTTTTCGATATCTCGAAGAAACAGCTAAACTCAATTTTGAACGATGCATTCGAGGTGATGAATTTCGAAATCTTATGTCATTAGTAACACCATTGATTAAGACATCACAAGCTCATTTAGAAACAAGTAATGCTTGTCAACAATTGTATGGCTATTTAACTAAAATATTGAAGAATTTTGCACTTGAACAACAAAAATTAATCAAAAGTTTAACTAATGATCACAAAGCAAAAGCAGAATTTACAAAGTTTTGGGATGATGCAATGAGTTTCAGTGAACGAGCATTGATTATTGAAGAAAATGAACGAAAATATGGACAACCAATCGGTTATTTAAATGTACATGTCGCTAATTTGGCTTGTACAAGTGAACTACTATCTGAAGCTTTACAACAATTAAAAACTTTATACTCACCAGAAGATCCTGACCATGTATCATTAATACTCGATATTTTATCGACATGTAAAATTGATGATCGAACAGCATCAATTCCAGAAGATTTACAGATTCTCATTTGGCGAAAACCAGATGCTACGGTTGATCTTCTATCAATTCTACGTCAATTACCACTTTGTCTTCAACAATATCAATATTCACAACAAATTCAAAGAGATAGCATCTGGACATTACAACCATTAGCAGCTATTCGTTTAGCTTGGGTCATGGATGCATCAGATCGAACATTTCCTGATTTTATCATGCAAGCATTACCAAGTTTACTTGTACCTAATAAATATCTAACTGATATCGATGAAGATGAAAATCGATCAGTATTTTGGATGAAAATTATACGTAAAGTTGCACTGAAAATAGGTCTTACATCTGAAACTTTACAATCAATTCATCAAATTCTTACTATTCATGTGTTAAAAGGTTTCTTACTTCGATTGACTAATCACTTGATTACTTATGAGAAACAAATTTATGAAAATGTTTTGCCATTCATTGATACAGATGAACCAATGGCTTGGTGTGTCTTTATGAATAAAGATTTCGATCTAGTGAATGCTCATACTGGTCAAATCGTTGAACGATCAACATTGATTACAGATTCACATGAAGTTGAAGGATGGTATAGAATAAATCTTCAAAAGTGTGGTTCTGTGGTTCGACCACGATATTTGTCTCTGCAAGACTATCCTAACTTTCCTCATGGTGCCATTGAACTTTATAACACTTGTACTCGAAAAGATATTGATATTCTACGTGATCAATTGAGAGAACTTGGTAATGATTCTTATTCATCAGATCAAATCAATGCACATGTCTATACAATTCGTGATCGACTCAAAACGATTCCATGCGTACTTTGGGGATCGACAGATTTAATAACTCAGACAACAACTACAGTCAAACTTGCATGCCAAGGTGCCATATTACCAACAGAAAAAGTAACAGTCAACATCACTAGATCAATCATCATTGATTACTTAGTATCACATTGTAATGATCGATTTGTTGCTGGAGCATTACGTGGATTTGGTGACTATGCACGAATTGCGAGTCAACAAACATCAGCCGGTGTCACTGAGCTTGATTACGCTATTGAATGTGGACAAAAGGCCACAATAGAAACAACCGCTATGCAAATTGCATTATTCATTCATTTCGATAAACCTGGCATTCGAGAGTATTTGGAACAACAGCACAAGAAATTAGCACGACAACTACGATCAGTGATGAATCCACCGTAATTTCAGAGTGTCTCTGCATTGCTCAAAAAAGCACAACAAACAACAGTCAATGATGAAATTTTAGGTATAACTGATCTAGAATCATTACCAACACAAACAACTACTGCTACTGATAAATCAGCTGACAAATCATCGCGACCCGTTCTCAATAAAGATTTGTTCACTTGTCCAATTACACTCGATATTATGGATAATCCTGCAACAACAGCACCTTGTGGACACATGTTTGAAATACAAGCTATCAATGATTATTTAAGAACAAGTAATGTCTGTCCTATCTGTCGAACTGCAGTAACTGGTGTTACCCAAAATTACGCATTCAAAAATGTTATTGAAGCGTGGTTAGCTCAACAAACAGAATAGACTTCTATTCGCTTGTGAAAATGTTTTCTTTTTCTTTTATACATTCATTTTATGAAATATTATTCTTATCTAAAAAGAAAGTTTCTCGTGACAGCTACTTTATTATGGCAGACTAATCTCGAGAGAATCTTTTGTTTCTTAATTCAAAATGATTAGTTTGCGTAGTACAATAGTATTCTCAAGAACGGATATCGTGCTTCATTGAAAATCTCGCTCACAAATAGATTTACATTGAACTCCGTTCTACTTGAACGATTTTCACTGATAGCTGCACAATCTTCATTTATGAACATAGAACAGATATCTATCTAAACTTCTTTAGGTCTTTACCTTTGTGCTCTATGAATCACAGTGTAATCTCTTTGATTCATACTTTCCATAAGTTATGTATGTGTGGTAGAACGAAAAATTTCCAAAAGATTTGCGGATGCCCGTAAAAATCATAGGTTCTCCTGAATAATGCCGAAAATCAAAAAGTCAAAATAAGTATATTGAAGTATAAGAATGACGAAAATAGAAATATCGAGATGTAAAAATATCAAATAACAATTTCCTACTTTTTAAGATGATTTCAATGAGATTTCGGAAGAAAATAGCATTGATTTATGCAATTCTTCCACATATGATGCAAGAACAAACAAGTAACGTTCATCGTCAAGCGATTCACTTAGCCCTAGACTGATAGAATACATGTACGGATGTAATAACATAAAAAGCTACATTAAAAAAGGGGTCGCGTTCACTTGGCCGACAATCACTTGGCCGACTCATCACTTAACCGACACCACTTCGCCGACAAATTGTTTGGCCGACATGTACACTTCGCCGACAACTCATTTGGCCGACAAATGTTTGAGATCAAAAAAATTGAAATTTCTTGAAAATATTGCGTGGATTTTTCCCACTCATTCACCTATAAATAGTGAACATTTTTCAAAATAAAATCAGACGACGATTTTTTATCAGTTAAAACAAGTCTCCCGCTAACAAACTGTTTCCCGTGAGATAAGTTCGATTTTCTTCGGGGCATTGCCCATAGTCTTTCATTGTAAATAAATGTGACTTTTGATAAAAAGACTTTCTGACGCAATATTTTCAAGAAATTTCATTTTATTTTACTTCAAATATTTGTCGGCCAAATGAGTTGTCGGTGAAGTGTACATGTCAGCCAAACAATTTGTCGGCGAAATGGTGTCGGTCAAGTGATGTGTCGGCCAAGTGATTGTCGGCCAAATGACCCGGACCCTAAAAAAGTAATACGCAAAATTGATAATATGACCAGTATATCTTAGGCGACCAGAAAACTTAATTTGGAGAATTCTCACTTTAAGTAAAGATGATGCATTTACAAATTTAATTTTTTTTTATCGTTTTTGTTTTATTTTTTTTTGCTTTTATAAATATAAATAGCGCCCAATAAGATTAGACAATAATACGATTTTTTGTAATTATATTGGCGCTATTTGTACGTACAAAAATATGAATTATATTATTCATAAAATTTGAGTTTTATTAATCAATATTTTATGCTTCAATTCGCGCATTAATTCTAAACTATTAATAAATTAGATATTCATTGATACAACATTGCACAATCAATCCTACAATAATGAATAATTTAAACGATTTCTTTAAATCCATACTGCTCATTTGGTCTGACTCTCACTAATTAAATGCTTTTGTAAGCCGTTTTACACCACTACCCGAATTATAGTTATTCCATTGACATTTTACCCATGATTATTATGGGTTCATTTACATCAGTCTTTAGATAGTCATTTGTACCATAGTTACCTGAATAGTCGTTTGTACCATGGTTGCTAAATGGTCACCTGTGCCATAGTTACGTGGTCGTTTGTACCAAAAAAATGACCGTTTGTGCCATAGCTACATGCTCATTTGTACCACAGTTACCTAGTTAATTTTAGTAAAAATAAATGCGGAAACTTCGGATTTAAATCCGAGAGTTATGTGTACTTCAAAAAGTGAATCATACGAATCAGTCATCCTAGAATATCTCAACATCAAAATTATACTGGGGAACCTACCATTTAAAATGTTGATTTCTATTGCGCGTTGCCAAACCAATAGGACATGGGACCGAATACATCTCAAGTTTGAACTCTTTTCCTTGATTTACCCTAACAAAGGCGTTTTTCCTATAACTTGATTTCCATTGGTCACTGCACAACCAATAGTATTTCGATGGAAGTGCAGTACACATTCGAGTTCTCCATCTCTGAAAACCTCGAAGTATCATCAATGTGATCAGAAGATAGAGCTCTGCTTATGGATCAATTAGATCGTGGACCAAAATATAACCTAGTTCTCTTTAATTATCCTTGTGATAGATGAGTCAATCTTCTTGCTTCTTTCTGTTTTATATATCATTTTGTAGCTCTTGAAATTCTCTATCGAATGGTATATAATAGTTGGGGTTTTAATTGACTATGATAGGAAAAGTCTTTTACGAAAGTCACGATGGGTCCATTTTTTCCACAGAAGGCTATAGAGAAAAATAGGTATTTTTTCAATAACTCAGGAATAGCTCGGCCGGTTCTTCTCATCTACGAACTCGACCGAGATATTGTCAAGACTAAGCTATGTAGAAAGTTTCATCGCAATCCGACTCTTCTGTCAAAAGTTATCATGTAAACAGCCAACCGGACGGACGAACACACTGACTATTCTATATAGTGTACTCACTTTTTCAGTACACAAAACTATGATTCGGTTCAAAACTAATATCAGATTCAGAATCAGCGTTAAAAACTGAGTCGATTTATGTATTTTGTGAATAATTATGAGCAAAAAAGTTTTTTTCGAAAAATCCCCGTACCCCCCCTCAGGGATGGTCTGGTCAAAAATCACAATTTTTTTGATAACTCAGCCATTTCTAGACGGATCCTTCTCATCTTCGAACTCGACCGAGATATTGTAAAGACTGAACTGTGTAGAAAATTTCATCGTGATCGGACTCTCCTTTCGAAAGTTATCGTGTTAACGGCCGGACGGCCGGACATACTGACCGATTCTAGTAGTGTACTCACTTTTTGAGTACACTAAAATGGCCGTTTGTGCCAAAAAAATGGTCACTTGTACGAAAAAAATGGTCGTTTGTGCCAAAAAAATGGTCACTTGTGCCAAAATAATGGTCATTTGTACCATAAAAATGGTCTTTTGTGCCAAAAAAAAGGTCACTTGTGCCATGTTATCGACAAATTCCGGTTTCTAGACCCTATCCTCTCAGTCTAGGGAATTTGTAAGAGTGAGAGAAATAAATACGCAAGGGTGTGGGTGTGGATGGGGTGTGGGTGATGTGTGCGTACGGGCCTAACTATGGGTTTGGATTTGAGTGTTCTTTTCGCAGTAATACGCATACCCACACCATTTTTCACTCGTATACTATCATCTATAATATTGAGCACCAGCATTGAGTAGATGATCGATACTTATAAGGGCCACCAATGGTTAGGTCATGCATAATTCTTAGTACCAGAAGTTGTTAGGGTATCCATAATTCTAACGACGAGTTTTGGCTAGGTCGTGCATAGTTATGTGAAGGAACATCAATTAGATCATGCATTGTGTGGTTAATGGTATGTATAGTTTGGTACGATTGAATATTATGTTTATTAATAGGTTTCTCGTTTGTTTAGGTTGATTGCGGCTGCTTATTTGAAAGTATGTTTTATTTCTTTATATGAAATTTTTTATTTTTGTTATAGATTGATTCAGAGTTCTGATTCAGCGTCAAGTTTATTTGGTTAATATTCGATTTTTTGTCTGGCGCGGATTACTCTTCAGTCGATACTTAAGTGTAAGTTTACTTCTTTAAATATATTGTCTTATTTCTGTTGTAAATCGATGGCAATTTCTGATTTATGAGTAAGCTTATTTCGTTCAATAAATGATTATTTTTGTGCTTCAGAGTCGAGTGAGATCTTGATTGTCATGTTACTTCATTGGCGTAAATAACTGATTATTTGTTTGTTGTGAATGAGTTCGCAATTCTGATATGAAAGTATGTTTATTGCTTTTAGTTGGTGATTTAGTTTTTGAGGAGGGCCTATTCACAGATTTGATGTAAATAATAGTTTTCGTTTTCTTTCTGAGGAGGAAGCCCTTAGGAATGATAAATCCCTTTCGAGTTGACCCTCTGTGTATAAGATAGACTTCCGTAAAATAAGAAAAACTCGTGAAGGATGCCTTGCATTAGCTTTTTCCTCGAAGGCTACCCTTATATGTCACTAGAATTTTAATTGAATACTAACGATTAACCTTATGTAGCTGTCAAATTGGTTTTGAGTTCGAGCCCTGTGTATCAGATAGATCTGAGTGAAGTATGAAAAACTCCAAACGAACGAGGACTCATAAGTCTTCTTTCGAAAGTTATAGCCATTTTCCTTGAATTTTAACCTATACTGCCATAAATATTAGTAAACTGAATGAGACTATTTCTATTTAAGATTTCACGAACGGAACAGTCTACTTATTAGAAGATTGCCCCAACATTTTTACCTGAAAAGAATGCGTATTTTCCAGAGATATTAAAGTTCACAAAAAATACAACACTTCATCATCTTTCGGGAGATATGAGTGGTAATGTTGAATTTTAATATCTCTGGAAAATACGCATTCTTTTCAGGTAAAACTTTTGGGACAATCTCCTAATAAATAGACTGTTCCGTCCGTGAAATCCTAAATAGACATAGTCTCATTCAGTTTACTAATATTTATGGCACTATAGGTTAAAATTCAAGGAAAATGGTCATAACTTTCGAAATAAGACTTATGAGTCCTCGTTCATTTGGAGTTTTTCATATGTCACGCAGATCTATCTGACACACAGGGCTCGAACTTAAAACCAATTTGACAGCTACATAGGGTTACTCGTTAGCATTCAACTAAAATTCTAGTAACATATAAGGATAGCCTTCGAGGGATAACTAATGAAAGGCATCCTTCAAGGTTTTTCTTATCCTACGGAAGTCTATCTTATGCACAGAGGCTCAACTCAACAGCGATTTATCATTTCCAAGGGCTCCCTCATTAGATGAATATGCCTTGGAAGGTTTTATATGAAACCATTTGTACGGAACATTTTTGACTTTTCCCGGTAAAGTTTTCGTACTGAACTTTGTGTACGAGACCATTTTCCCCATTCACCTAGAAGAAGTTTTACACGAAACCTTCTTTTTACGAAACCAAAAAAGAATCTGATTGCGAGCACACCGCCAGATCCTTTTTTTGGTTTCGTAACATACCTTTGTCTTTTACAGTGCAGATGCACCTCCTAAGATATGAAAGAAAATACTTTGCTGCTATTTACTCTACATATCTTCTTTTTGCGTGAATTTTATCGTACAACACAAGGACTCATATCTACGTTTTCGAGAGAACCTTCACAATATAATTATCTATTTTTTGTCAACATATTTTGGTTTGAAGAAGAACTTACAAGGGCAAGTTGAGTTTTTGCAACTCACAAATATTGAATATTTTTGTTTCTATACCTTATTAGTGCAGAAAAGTTATTAAGAAACCTGAAAAATGTGCACTAAAAATAATCCGTCTTTAAATATAGCGGCACTTGGTCGTCCGTTCCAACTTGGAATGTTGTATGACTATAGAAGCGATAAACTTATCCCCGATATATCAGTATGGGAATCGGATCCATCTTCGCAACACATTAGTTGGCAGCCATTATCATGGAAGAAATGTGAACTTTATATGACAGATACTTTCACCGAAAAAGCAGATTTATTAAACATTGATAACAATCTTAAACTGAGTGTATTAGCTAACCTTGTTAAGTTATCACGTTCGGAAAAATTAATTGATGATCGAAACCAAACAAATCATGTTCTACGATTTATTTTAAAGTATTCAGTGACAAAAAATCTTCATGCATTAACAATGACTAATATGAAAATAAGAGATTCAAAATATCGAGAAGTACTAGATCAAAAAATTGCTACTCATATTGTTACTGATATTGTTTATGGTGGTGATATATTTTTCGTATTAGATCGTACATTATCAAATGATGAAGATCGTACAGATATTGAAAATCGTATCAAACAATTTTTGATAAAATTTGAAACATTTCAAGTACTCGATAATGGTACATTGAATTGGAATTATCATGAAAAAGAACTAGCTCAAACATTAAGATGTCAATATTATGGTGATTTTCCAACAGACTCGAATCCAAGAACATTTGAAGAAATTGTAAAACTATACAAACATTTATTGAAATCTACACAGCAACTTTATGATATTGTAGTAATAAAACAAGTACGGATATATCCGCTGTATTTGTTGGATAAATTTCGTTTAGCAAAGAAAAATTTTCATCAAATTAATGATCTTATCCTTATCGAATCTTTGAAAATTTTTGATAATTTTTATCGATTCGAAGTGACTTTATATGATTTAAAAAGTAGTTTATCATTCATTAGAATATTCTATCGAACTGAAGAGCAAATATTAATAGTTCTAAATCGACTATCTGATATAGAAAATAATACGAGAAATGAAATGATGAAATTGTTACCGAAAATTCGTGCTGGTTTTGTGAAAGAAACGGCTCTGACTAAGCTGTTGAGCAAACTTGATTTGTCTCCATGCAATCAACCAAGGCTAACCGATTGGATTCAATTTAAAAGAGAAGAAATCAATATATTTAAGGATTTTATGAATGATCTAAGAAAACAAGATAATATTCGACAATTAGCAAGACCATTTGCTGAGGTTCAAAAGAACTATGCATCACAATCTATTCTTCGTTTGATTATTCATGTCACAGCGAAAAATGATTTATTTTTAAAGGAAATACTCCAGTGTCTTGATGGGAATATAAAAGAATTAACACATCAATATACAACACAAGATTTTTGGTTCAATGATGATAATCTGTCGTTGATTATGAACCGCATTCGGTTATTTATTAAATTTGCCGAACTCAATAACTCTCAACCAAATTTTGAATTTATTGTTAATGAAGAATATGCAGATGAATTTCAAATGAATAAAGGGGTGACATGTCTTCTTTATGAAAATAGTGTTGCGACCAATTTCGAAATTCCAAGTAAACCAGGACGACCAATTGCAACAAAGGTTTCAGATTGCAACGTAACACTTCATTGGGCTAAACCTATCTACGGAAGTCAACATATTCAACACTATAAGATTTACAGTAAATGTATTATGCCGAATTCCAAATGGAAATTATTATTATCGACAACTGATGCAAAAACATCCGTGAATATTCCGCATCTTAGAAAAAGAAAATATCAGTTTAAAATACAAGGCACTACTTTAGTGGGTGATACGATTGAAAGTGATGCTAGTGATATAATTGGTTAGTATACAGTAGTTTTTTTATTGGTTACAACTAGTTATGTTTGAATTATTTTGCTTGAATCGCATTACTTCAGTCATTCTTTATGAAAATCGGATAGCACAGCTTCTTTTGGGCTCAAATACGAAACTCACATGCCTTCTTTAGCTTCCTTATACTAATAGAAAATACAGAAAATGTAAAATCAAGAATTTTTCATTTTCTTTTATAGACAGGCGCCCTATTTTACGTTCTCGCTGTTCCGATCCTCTCGTTACCATTATTTTCGTAATTATCTTTACTTAATTTAACGTTTACGTTATTGAAAGTCTTCAATTGACAGGCGAATAAGATCGTTAGATATATATCAATTTTTGATCTGGTTGTTTAGGTCTGTAAAAAAAGTGGGCCGTCGGAAAACTTCGGCCTAAACATTTTCGCTCATTCTTTCCTTCGAAAATAAATCTGAATTCCATAAAAATGTAGCAGTATTTATCTCCATTAAAAATCCTCTTTAAAAATTCTGTAAGAAAAACTTCACATTGCTCTTATGCAAACATTTTGGGCTACTTTTCAAACTCGGTTTCACTCATACGTAGAATATCTCTGATGCAAACTCTTTATAGGCTTCTTCTCTTGGAAAAAAATGAGAATTCTACGGACCAATCAAGTTCAAATCTGACAATGTTTTTATATGAATATCAGAAAAGTCTAGAAGACGAATTCATACAATCTTCAATCGTATATAGCATTCCACATTTCCTTTAATTCAGGGCATTTATGAAAAATATTCTCAGCTTTGACTCAGCAGCAATTAATCTTGCTTACAAAGACAATGAAGAACGTCGGGAGACGTTCGGAGAATGCGGAGTATAAATTGAAAAATGGTGAACATTCATCTGCTTTCAGGTACCCTTTGCAACCAATTCAATTAGAAAAGAGGCAAGGATTAGTTTTTTGCATATATCTTTTTTAATTTACTAGAATTTGCCATGACTAACAGTTTCTTTAATGAAGAAGGCAGATTAACCCTTTCAGGCCCATGGCTCAGCCAATGGATGAAATTTCTTTGAGACTTTATATTTAATATAGGCAGTGTGTGTTGTGAATATTTTCATCAAAACTTTTTAAAAAACCTTTAAAGTCATTTTCGACCCATGCCCGTACCCCTACGGGGATGACGAATAAGTACTTTGGTCATCCCCCTGGGGGGTACGGGCTTTGGTCAAAATTTGATCGAGAGCTGTTACAAAATCAATCTTGGAATACCACTAGGAGTCACTCCTAGCTTGATTTCAACACGGAAAACCGAAATTTTTTTGGGGACTACAAAAGGGCATTGTTTGCCCTTCTCCTTTTTAGAATAGCGATGGTGTTTCAAAAATCAATCAGGCTTACTGCTTGAGTGACGTCATTAGGGTTATAACTCTTATATAGATGTATGCATCGAAGTCTCTTCTATGTCATAATGAAAACCGCACTTCGATATTGTTTTGCATTCTCGAGTTATTCGAAATTTATCATGTTGGAAAAAAATGTGCTTTATAGGCCTCGCTGGTACTTAAAGGGTTAATACCTATTTCATCTTATTTGGATGGTAGATATCATATAAGTGTACATATCGAAGTGTTTTCTATATTTGAAAGAGAAACACACGTTAAAATTGTGTTAGCTTCATAAGTTATTAAAAATTTATCGAACTTGAAAAAAGTGGGGCCTATAGGCCCCTTTGATACTTGAAGGGTTAACAGTACATAGTGACTCACACATGACAAGACATTATTCATAGACTTCATCTACAAAATATGTCACTCGGTTACATTTCGCATTTGACTACTACAAAAAGTGCTTGTAAGTCATTTTGCAATGATGTATTAAAATATTTTAGAGCTAAAGCAATCATCACAATCAATTGTTCCTGTACCAGCAAAAAATATTAAAAGAAATGTACTAACTGATACAGATAACAACATTACTAAAAGAACTCTACTAATTGATACATATAACAACATTACTAAAAAAACTGTACTAATTGATACATATAACAACACTACTGAACAGAACGCTACTATTGATGTGACAGCAACATGGCCCATACCGGTAAAGTTTGTTCATTGAGAGAGAATTTGTTTTCCTACTGCCCCAGTGAACAAAGAAAAGACAAAAAGATCAGTCGTATTTCTAGTCATGCTGATATTGTCAGTCTAGTCTTTTTTCTCAAAAATTTCTACTACATAACAAGTTTGAAATCATTTTTAGACCATAACTCACATCCTGACTGCTTTATTGGTGACAGTCATTCAGTATGTTACCTGTAATTTTTTTGAAGAAAAAAACTAGTCATATGCAGAGCTATGACGCTCATCCAAAAACTATTTTATATTTAAAAAAAGGAAGAGCATCCACGACCGTGCATACGATGAATCGTGGCCTTATTTAGTGATTGAGTCTGGACTATTATAAATGATGAAGCATAATGTAACGATCTCGATTGATTGAATTTCATACATGATACTTAACCTTCCCATATCACTCACACGTATATTATACATTGTCCTTACCTTTCTATTCTTCTGTCCTTATCCTATTGTTCTCCTATAACGACTCTCTCCTTGGTCTTATATCATCTCTCGTCATCATCTCTTCTTCTACTTGAGTATATAAGCGTGTGCTATGTATGTAAACGATGCGATTATATGATATGAAGGAATAGAATAAAGTGTAATACCATCAGCACTAATATCCCTTCTATCAAAAATCGTCACAACCCCCTTGATCTTTATCAATATTTCAAGATTTCGGCTGTATGTGAGTACTGACAAACGCTGATCATAGACACCAACCCGACATCAATTCAATGTAATAGAACAGAGTTATATACCAAACACTATCGTTATCTTGCATTGGTTATATCTCAGTCATACAAGCACTTTGAAAGTCGGGAAACCTACTATTCAAAGACTTGAGTCTTCAGCTTTCTCCAATAGAATTTTCATCAGAGAAATCTTTTGGATTGCTGAGATATCAGCCTGTTAATGAGTATCGACCCAATCACAATTATGATGATTTTCACTTCGTCATACTGAAAAATCATCTTTACATTGACCGATTCACTTGAAAATTTTTTTTCAATATAGTCATAGATTCAGGAATGTTTCCTAAAAGTTTCAGCATTATAGCTTGTACTAAACTCGAAATACGG